TTTTGACACTATATCCTTAGGGAGAATAAATAAGTTTAGGGAGAATAAGTACCTTTATCAGCTTTGTTCTTCTTAGGTTGAGGGATCTCAAAATCTTTATCATCAAAAGAGCAGCCGTAGCACAGTGGTTAGGGCACTTGCCTCAGAAGCTAGAGATCCGTGGTTTTATAACATCGAGTTTTATAATATTGGTAAGAAAGGAGATGTGAACTTCTTTACAAATGCTCTTCCGTGGTGCTCTGTGATAAAACCGTAAGGACTTCTTGTGGCATCTAAAAAAATATAAAAACTTTGATCAGTATACTCAATATCATAATCATAAAAACTTACTTCATTTTCAGGTAAAAAATATGCTGATAATTTTGCCTCTTCCTGTACAGAAAAGGTTTCTTGACTCTTTCTTGATTTGGCTCTTACTGACTTGCTCAAAACAACCATTAAGTTCTACTATTTTCACTATTTTCAGGCTTTTCTGAAGGCTGAGTATGATTATTAATTTCCAAACTTCTGTGTAGAAAGCATCACTAGTCCAAAACAAACCTATTTTTTATAATAAATGTTTGTGGTAATTTAAGGTGGGTTACTGGGTTACTTTAAAATATAATAAGGACCTGCTAAAAAAAATTTATTACAATTTATATAAACAAATTTAAAAGTGCTCAATAAGAACAAATTCATTAGTTAAAATAAAATTTTTGATTCAAAACAATTCGCTCATTGCGATGTTAGAATTATCTTATTGAATTTCCACGGTTTTGAGTTTTGAAATAATCTTTATGAAATGGCATATAAAAATATTTTTATAACTTATGTTTTCTCTGCAACTTTTTTACTTATAACTTAGGTTTCAATACAATAAATAAACATTATGCTGAGGTACACAACACTATCTGTAACTCAAATCTTTCAAAGAGTGGACTTAGAACAAGACAGTTCTTACGTCGCATCATATTTTTAAGATATAAGCAATTGTACAAAGTTTTGATAAAAGAAAATCCTGATTAATATGTTTTTTCCTTTTTGGTTCTTTTGAGTTTGCAATTATTAATATTGTACCATTTTAAATAAGCATTTCATGCTTTAAACCATAAATTGAGAAACTAAAATAGTTTTCCAAGTATAAGGCATTATGGGATTGATATTTGGACAAACATTGTTTTTAAATATTAGAATTTCTTAAAAATGTGAGCTGTTGCAGGAATAATATTCAAAAAAGCCATTTGGCGTCAATAGAATGGAACGCAATAGAAATTTACATAAATATTTATAAAAACCAGAGTTTGATTTAGTAAAGATAAAATATATACTGTGAGAAAGCTACAATCTAAAACAAAAAATATTCACAAAGTCCTAAATTTAGCAATTTGTTGTAAAAATGTATTAAATTATTAAGTTTTGATATATTAAATTTTTTTGGCTATTTGGAAATACTAAAATAATTTATGTAACCTTATAAATTATTAAATACTATATCATTATTTGTTAATGAAATTTACCTAGTTACTTTGAGAGGTTTTTTTCTCACCATTGAAGCAAATAGTAGTCATCTTCCAAACACAAAAAAAAATGTTCCAGACAGTTATTATGGTACTTTAATATTAATATTATACATATATATGTGTGTGTGTGTGTGTGTATATATGTGTGTGTGTGTGTGTGTGTGTGTGTGTGTGTGTGTGTGTGTGTGTGTGTGTGTGTGTGTGTGTGTGTGTGTGTGTGTGTGTGTATATATATATATATATATATATATATATATATATATATATATATATATATATATACACACACATATACATATATATATATATATATATATATATATATATATATATATATATATATATATATATATATATATATATATATATATATATATATATATATATATGTATGTATATATATATACACACACACACATATATTTATTATTTCAATATGATGTCTTCAGATACTGATGACATCATACTGAAATAATAAAAAACCTTTTAGTTTGTATTTTAGCATTGTTTTTGCGTAAGTACACATGTTTTTGCTAAAAATTAAAATTGAAAATATAGCTTTTGTTTTGATGTAAAAGCCATTTTAAGAAGCAAGTTCAGTGAAAGTTTTAAAATTCCATTATCAAACTTTGCAGAAGATTTTAGTAAACTTAGGTTCTATTGTTATTAGTGCAAATATCAGTTATATACTTTTTGAAGATAATAAAATGCTTTACAAAAATCATGATATTAGTCATAACATAAAAGGAACTAAGTTTTTAGTTTGTAAATTAATTTGGTTCACTTTACCCCTACCCCTTTTTTTTGGGTAAAGTATAGCCTTTTTGTTACTTTTTTTTTTTTAATCAAATTACTTTTGTAGTTTTGTATATATATCATAATTACTTAGCTAAACTGTTTGCTTTTAAAATATTTTTTTTTGTAATTTTTTCTTAAATTTCTTTTAGAAATATAATATATTGAAACTCTAAGAAAAACATATGCATCTGATTTGTTTCATAATGATATATCTAAAGTTAAAAATAAAGAAATGCCTTTGTATGCTGCATCAAAGGAGTGTGGTGTTTTAAAAAGTACAATTGCAAAAATCTTCTAGGCATAAAATGCTCAAAAATTGGTGAAGGGCGACCACACCGGTTCTCTGTGAATGCTGAAAAGGATCTTGTTTTGTTTTTATCTTCATTTTCTGGTTTTGAATTTGGATTGGGAAAAAAGTAGTTTATAATACTAGATCAACTATTTATATAAAAAAAAAAATGAAATTTTAGCAAAAGTTTGTTAATGTTGTTGGTGGTGATTATTGGTGTCATATGAATTTTTGACAGAAAAAATTATTTATTAGGAGCTTTTTACATTAAGAAGGGGATTAGCTTGTAACAAAACTGTAATTGGATCTTGGTTTTCTTTACTTAAAGCTACAGTGGAAAAATGCAACATGAATAAATCTGCTCAAATACTAAACTTTGAGGTTTAACACTAATTTCAGAAATGAGAAAATAATTTGCAATAGAAAGAGTAAAAACCCTGTATCTATTGCTCCTGAATCAGGAAATAAACAGTTTACTATACTAGCAATAATATCAACTGCATGAAGAGTTTTTCTTCCATTTATTTAATTTGCTGGAAAGATTTTATACAAAATGGTGACTGGTAGATCTAAGGGAATATGTGGTAATAAAATTTGTTTGAATGGAAGCAGGTATGCGGTAGTGGTAGAGCGCTTGCTTCATAAATGAGAAGTTCCGAGTTCGATTCCCACCATGTTCCTGGTAGTACTGTGCTCAACTTGTTTCTCCATGCCGCGGCTTTGTTTGTCAAGGTTCGTGTTTCAGAGTTATAGAGTTGAGAGAGAGTTATAACCACAAGTAGACTCCTCATATGTAGTGCCCTTCTTGGCCTTGGGGAGGTGAATTACAAAAAAAAAAAAAAAGATAACCATTTTGTTTTATGGTTAAAAGATATTCTAAAGCTTGTTTTAGTTGTCTTTGATGGTCATATGAGTCATATTTCTTTAGAAATGTTAAAATGCAATTTAAAATTGTACAACTATTTTGTGTTTGCCAGAACACTGTTTGCATCTCCTACAGCAACAACAAGATATTGGTCTTTTGCCAACCTAAATCTGTATGACCCTGAGTCAAGACTGATGGTGGTTGGAAAATCTGTTTTTCCATCTTTATTAAAAAAACTTTATGAGACATAATTCAAATCATTTAGTACAATCATTTGTCAAAACTGGAATTTTCCCCTTTGATTTATCTGCTACAGCATTTGGCAAGTTAACAGCAGTAGTGGTATAGTTGTAGAGTGCTCATAAGTAAGAAATTCTGAGTTTAATCCCCACCACCAGTTAAGTGTGGTACTACCGTCCCTGGTAGTACCATGCTCAACTTGTTTCTCCTTGCAGTGGTCTTGTTTATCAAGGTTTGTGTTTTGTAGTTATAGAATTTAAAGAGGGTTGTAACCACAAATAAAGTAGCTTACTCAACTGTAATGGCCTTTTTGGCCTTAGGGAGGTGAATAAACATAAAAATAAATAAAAAAACTCCATACGAGGGATATTACCACAATCATTTGTTTTCTGAAGAAAAAAGGTGCACATAGAAATCTATGAGCACCTTTTTTCCTCAGAAAACAAATGATTGTGGTAATATCCCTCAAAACATCACTTCAAACAATAACTTTAATGATCAGAATAATACTTGTGACTATATTGAAAAATAGATTGTGTTACTTAAAATAAGACCATAAGAGAAATAGTGAAAGAACAATTATTGGCCACAAATGGTGATGCTTGTTCATACAATAAATGATCAAAACGAAAAAATAAAACCATGGCATGGTGGAAAGTGTTTTACATCAGATGTTGCATTTAAAAGATTAAGCGATGAAGAAAATATAGCCTTTAAAAGAAAGAACAAGTTGAAAAGCAAGAAAACATACAAAATAAAAATTTTGTATGTTGTTAAACATTAAACAAAATAAAATTTTTGTATGTGGTAAATTTTAACAGAAATAAAGATGAATTATTTTACTTTACCCCAATTTTAGGGTAAAGTGAACAAGTTTTTTTTTAATACATATTTGATATTGTCATTTTTATGTTAGTATTTTGTTTCATGTTGAACTACTACATGGTATAAATTTTGCAAAGCGCAAAATATAAGGCTTTTTCTTTGAGAAAATTTTTTTATAAATTCAAAAATAGTTCATTTTACCCCAGTATATGTGTGTGTGTTTATATATATGTATATATATATATATATATATATATATATATATATATATATATATATATATATATATATATATATATATATATATATATATATATATATATGTATATATATATATATATTTATATGTGTATATATATATATATATATATACACATATATATATTCATTTATTTATATATATTCATTTATATATATATATATATATATATACATATATATATTCATTTATTTAATTTATATAATTGTCAATTATGATTTCTAGATCCAATCTATGACATAGAGTTGCATTTATTTAAAGACTTGCTGATTCCAAGAAATTCTTTAACGGAAAAGACACAGCGTGTTCTCATTGGTGGATGTACAAAGTGTATGCTAAAATTTATTTTTAATGTTTTTAAATGAAATTAATTTAGTAAAATTTAAATATTTCTTGATGAAAGTGTTTTTTTTTATTAATTTCTCTTTATTACATTTTTACATATATTATAAATATATTTTTTTTACATTTATATAGATCGTAGTTATTTAAAGAATTGTGCTTTGTTCAACTCAAACTTTAGGCGCCTTGTACGAACAATTTATTTGGATCGTTCAGTAATTATGAAATATAAATATATAGATTACACTGATGAACCAAATAGTTTTGTAAGAAGTTTTTTAAGAAGTTTAAAAATAATTTTGTTTTAATGCTTTTATTGATATTGTTTATAGGGGAAGTTGGGGTACAGTGGATTGGATTTCTTTTTTTTTTAAATTGAGCAAAAGTTAAAATATGTATTTTATTTTTTTCAAGGTGAAAGGATTGAGATATATGTCCTTCATGATAATAATTTACTAAAACCCATATACTTATTATCTAATGGCTCACAGAATGGTTTAAAATGTGTTGTGTTACGTTATTCATTGTGCCCCAGTACTGGGGCACAGTGAATCAATGGACACAGCTGTGAATTAATGATATTGCATAGGGACATAACCAAATAACTATGAGGCTGAGGGAGTAAAGACACTGTACACTATATTTTTGGCATACTTCTATTAATTAGATTAGTATAATATTGAACAATTAGACATTTTAAAAATTGAGAAGAAAAAAAATAAATTTTATTGATAATAAAACTTATAAAAATATTAAAAAATTCAAAAATTATTCAAATATTATTATTCATAACATAAAACTAATAAATTCAATTTCATATAGTTTGTTTGTTAAAAATACATGAATTTAATCTTTAAGATCATTAATGGAGTATAGTGAATCAACCTATTCACTGTACCCCAATTTACTGTGCCCCATCATAACAATTTAAGTTTAAGTCTAATTTCTTGGGACACTTGGTGTTGTTAAAAGAAAAGCTAAACTACTAAAAGAAAGCCTAAATATCAATAATCTGAATAAAAAACTTCAATTTTTAAAATTACTTCAACCATGATCTCCATAACAAACATTAGGAAAGTAGTTTACTTTAGTTAGCTAAAAACAAAAATTACAAACCAAAACCCGGTAGTTAAAAACTGTGGTAACAAGTATAAATAAAGATGGGTGATATATGAGCACATAAAATGATTACATTATCAAGATGAACAAAATTCTATTCTTTGAGAAAATGCCTCTTATTCACTGTGCCCTTTGATTCGCTGTACCCCAACTTTCCCTGTGTGCTCATAAAAATTAATAATCATTTTTATTGCATTAAAATATATCAGTTGAGGATTTGAATTACATAAACTCCACTGTATGACTATCATACAGCATACAGTATGCTATATATATATACATATATATATATATATATATATATATATATATATATATATATATATATATATATATATATATATATATATATATATATATATATATATATATATATATATATATAATATATATATGAAAAGTATAAAGTTATAAGATATTTTATTACAAAATATCTTATAACAAATAAAAAATATTGATGCAGTAAGACATTTTTAAAAATGATAATGTGATGGTAGCTTGACCTAAACAGGAGAAATGCTTTAATAGGAAACAGGTAAACATATTTCATAAAACTAAAACAAAATAAGACAAACTTTTCTTTTTATAGCAAGTTATGTCAAAACTTTGTTAATAAAAAACAGTTTAACACTTTAAATTTCTTTTAATGAAACAATCTTTTGCTCATAGTATTATAATAGATAATTATACTTTATAACTAAAAGTTCTAAAACTAAAAAACTAAAAACTAAAACTACAAATGCTTAATATAATTCTTGATTGCATTATACTAGTCCATTGTTTTTAACATTAAATTCATATCAATAGCAAATCTCTAAATAAAACACATTTTAGATAACAAATGAGTGAAAGTACTTTGTCTTTTTTGAGCTGGTCTATAAGTTTTAAGTTTTTATACAATCAAAGTCTTGTGATTTTGTTATTGGCCATTAAGGCATGTAACCTCGCCTTTAAATTCTTATTTTCTATTCTACTTATTTTAAACAAATTCACTTCCAATAAGGCAGCAACCAATCACTAATTAAATTGGAACTTAGCAGAAAACAAAAAAAGCGTTAAAGAACAATAAAGCATGTGACAGAAGATTTTAAAAACTGTATGGCAAATAAAAAATTTAAAAAGGTAGAGAATGAAATCTTGTGTAAGAAATAGACAAGCATTTATAAAGAAAAACAAACTTAGCAAATGCTAACTTTGCAATAGGTTATTTATAAATGGTTTCCATGAGAAGTCAGTAGTTAATATAATCCAAGAAGACATAAAGTAAAGACTCAATAAGAATTTTGTCATTCAACCTCTCCAAACTATTTAACTCTGAAACACGAACCTTGGCAAACAAGACTGTTGTGCAAAGAAATAAACTGAGTGCAATTGAAACATGGTGAGGATCAAACTCAGAACTTTTCACTTACAAAATGAGCACTCTACCACTACACCATTTACTGCATTAAATTTAGAGGCACTATTACTAGTTTTTTACTTACATAACATTTAGAGATTAAAGTTAAAATAAGAAAGATTTTAAAGTTTATTATCTTTCTCTTTTAAACGCTTTATTTATATAAATATTTATATAAATTATATTATTTTTATATATACAAATAGCATTCATTTTTATAAAAAATATTTCTGTTATTATAAGGGTGTTTAAATTAAATTTTCTCAACAATTTATATTTTTTAGCATGTGTTTATTTAGATGAGATTACCGCTACTTAATTTTTATGACCCAACAACCGGAATACATGAATTTAGTCACTCGGATGTTACTTATTTAAACATGTTATTATGGTTGAATTCAAAGATTGGGTAATTTACTTTAACAGCATTGTAAATGTTTGATCATTATTTTTCATTGTAATTTGAGTGTTTTTTATTTCAGTGTTTTAATTTTTAAGCTCTGCTATCAAACCAATTCCATTTTCTCGAAGCGACTTTGTCAAGTTCAATTTCAAAAGTGTTCGGAGCTCACAGCTTACTCAAGATGATGAGGTTTCTCAACGCGTTCTTCAGCTAAAAAATGAAAGATTGTATCGAGATAGCGTTGAATTACTTACTGATACCTCATTTAATAACACTATTAATAAATATGATTTTATTGTTGTATTATTTTTTGTTCTCTGGGATGAGCGGAGTTACCTTATTCAACCACACTTTGCAAAAGTACACGAAATGATGGGTAATTTATTTAGTACTGAAACTATTAAAGTTTTACTTTTTTACTTATAGAATAATAAATTTAAGTATTATAATTATTAAATTTTTTGTTCGATTTCAGAGTTTACTCATAACTTTAGATTTTATCATTTTATTATGTTACTTAGTTCTGAGATTAACATCTTGCAGATCAACTGTTTTAAGTGATATTGTGATAAGCGAGTTTGAGCATAAAATATTTTCAAAGCCTCTATTATGTTATTAAATTAATTTAAAAGTTAAGTAGTTGAGTTAAAAACTTTCGTAATTTTTTCTTGAAATTTTTTTTTTCCGTAACTGAACTGACTTGACAATTTCATTAGCTACATTAATTTGGTGAGTTTGCTAGGTTTTTTTTTGCATATTATAACACTACAGTTGTAGCTAACATAAAAAAATTTAATATTGAAATTTATTGACTACTTTACACTGGTTTGCTTTGATAATGAAAATGGCAGCAACTACCTAAAATTTGAGTAAACAAATAGTGAATTTTGACAATTTGTCAATAAAATTCTTTAGTTCAACACTTTTTTTATGATTACAAAAACTGTTATATTATATGAAGCAATTAATTTTCATTTGCTCAATATTGTTGCGTAAAATTTTATTTGTAAAGTTGTGTACTATATTACCCAAAAACAAGCAACATTCTGCAAACAGCTTGCTAGTGTTGCTCCAGGCTTGTCTTTTATGTACTTTTGAAGGGCTTCTACACATCTATGTATTTTTGAAGTGTTTCTACACATCTTTTATGTATTTTTGAAGTGTTTCTACACATCTTTTATGTATTTTTGAAGTGTTTCTACACATCTATGTATTTTTGAAGTGTTTCTACACATCTTTTATGTATTTTTGAAGTGTTTCTACACATCTTTTATGTATTTTTGAAGTGTTTCTACACATCTTTTATGTATTTTTGAAGTGTTTCTACACATCTTTTATGTATTTTTGAAGGGTTTCTACACATCTTTTATGTATTTTTGAAGTGTTTCTACACATCTTTTATGTATTTTTGAAGTGTTTCTACACATCTTTTATGTATTTTTGAAGTGTTTCTACACATCTTTTATGTATTTTTGAAGTGTTTCAACACATCTTTTATGTATTTTTGAAGGGTTTCTACACATCTTTTATGTATTTTTGAAGTGTTTCTACACATCTTTTATGTATTTTTGAAGTGTTTCTACACATCTTTTATGTATTTTTGAAGTGTTTCAACACATCTTTTATGTATTTTTGAAGGGTTTCTACACATCTTTTATGTATTTTTGAAGTGTTTCTACACATCTTTTATGTATTTTTGAAGTGTTTCTACACATCTTTTATGTATTTTTGAAGGGTTTCTACACATCTTTTATGTATTTTTGAAGTGTTTCTACACATCTTTTATGTATTTTTGAAGTGTTTCTACACATCTTTTATGTATTTTTGAAGTGTTTCTACACATCTTTTATGTATTTTTGAAGGGTTTCTACACATCTTTTATGTATTTTTGAAGTGTTTCTACACATCTTTTATGTATTTTTGAAGGGTTTCTACACATCTTTTATGTATTTTTGAAGGGTTTCTACACATCTTTTATGTATTTTTGAAGTGTTTCTACACATCTTTTATGTATTTTTGAAGTGTTTCTACACATCTTTTATGTATTTTTGAAGGGCCTCTACACATCTTGTGGGCTATACTTTTAGCTGTTAAGAAGTTAGCCATGGCAACACTGGACCAAGACTTAAGTCTCAAAACCAAAACATGAAACCTACTATTTTTAAACTAAGACAAGACTAAGATATGAAAGGTTTGTCTTGAGATATCTTAACGATACATGAAGTATCAAGATTACTATACTCTATGATAGTCTTACAACAACAGAAAACTTTATGCATCAACTTACCTGATATCGTTTTGCTCAAGGAGTTATCTGATATTCCTGTGCTTAAGGAGTTTCTTAATATCCTTGTGTTCAAGGAGTTACCTGATATCCCTTTAACTGTAACTCCACTACAAAATATTTTAAATGAAAGGATAGAGATCACTTCTTGATAGAATAAAAACATAGGCTAGATGAAAATGAAGTTTGAAAAGATGAAGTTTGTATATGCTTTAGACAGAGTCTATTATATTCATCACAAATATTGTTGACTCGTTGACTGCATAATTAATGCCTTGTGATAAAATCATATTCTTTTGTTTTTTTCCATCAATGAAAGGTATTAATTTAGCTGCAGTGTCTTAAAATTGTAAAAAAATTTCAGAGTAACTGGAAAAATTACCAGGGTAACTGCTCTTGATGGAAAGGCTAGAAATGGCATTTCAACCATCTTTCATTTTTAGGACAAAATTAAAAAAATAGGAACATGGAGAAATTAATTGCAAGCTAGGGTTGTAAACAAGACACAAATCAAGCAGATAAAGTGTTTTTTTACAAAGGTAAGTTAGTAGCGTGCGGGCCCCAAAGGCTATGCAGGAATTCAGCATGGGCCTACTGGTATTTAGCTTAGGCCTTTTTTTTGATTTTTTTTACATCAATACATTCTGAAAATGATTCACAAGTAATATTTCTTTGCTTTTTTTATTACACAAGTTAAAATTTTTTAACAAATTGTTGTTCAGAGTGTTTAGGGCTAGTAAGTTATTAGTATTTTGCATAATAAAATGCAACTGTTAGTAATATTGGCCACAAAACAAAGTCGATATTGAAAAACATCACTTAAATCGCTTTTTATATCAGTTGTTATATAGGTAAAATACTTTAAGTTAACTAATTATTATAATGAGAAATAATTGTATTCAATTTTAAATTATTTATAAAAAATAGTCATATTGATAAAACTTTAATTAAATTAGTTGTTTAATTAATTGATTAATTGTTTGTTGATTAATTGTTTTTTCAAAAACAAAAATTAAAAACAAAGTTATGTTTTGTATTTTTGTATTTTATATAATTGTTCTTATTGTATGCACTATTGATATATTAAAAGTAGTTAAACATTTTTTCTACATACAAGAATAATATCATGGCGCAGTTTATTTCTATTTGAAAGTATTCCTTTATTTTTGATTCATTTGTTTATTTCAGGGAGTCTTAACGTACAGCATCCCTAAAATAAACAATAGCTCTACAACATTTTGCAGATTGAAAAAGAATAAAAAAAATTTAAATGTAAAAGTTATATTTACATTTATGAAAACTGAAAATAAAAAAACTATCCAAGTAGAAGGTGGGATTGTTCACAACTTTCTACTGAAAAAGTATTTATGATCTCATCTGGCAGGATTTTCTCTAGTATGTCAGCATTGCAGAGTATTTCTTTTTTAAATACTATTCAAATTTACCATGATATTTTATCCTGCGATCAATTAAAACAATTTGTAGCAATTAATTCAATTGAAGTAATGTGATTTTAAAAAAAAACTCAAATTTTCAAATAATAAAAAACATAAAACTGTGTTTGTAAGGGATTGTCCATAAAGTATGTACGCTCGGAGGGGAAGAGGGGATCTGCAAATGGCATATATGAGATGGGAGGGCAGTGGATCAATTACAAAAGAAAGGAGACATCAAATATTCAAATATTTTAAAATAATACTGGAGTTATTTATTCTCCTAAATATTTTTTTATTTTGCAAAACATTTTTTAAGCATTTATTGTTTTTATCACCTTTTTAAGGGTTTTTTAAAGTTCTTACTTATTTTGTAATTTATAATTATCCTTTTATTTAAATGTTCAGTTGTATTTATATATTCTCTTATTTGTCTTTCTAACATTTCAGAGTCTCAAATTGTCAAAATGGCAAAAGTTGACTGTGCTTCAGAATATTATGTATGTACTTTCCAAAAAGTTTTTTGCTATCCAACTATTAGAGTCTTCAAGTAAGCATTGTTTAGTTATTTGAAGAGTTATAATTCACAGACACAACTATAAAAAATCTATTTTAGAAATATAGCATTCAACATAAAACATTTAGTTTTTTTTTTTTTAGAAAAGGGAAACATTTGATTGATTACAATGGTTTCTTTGATGCTATAAGATTGGAGCAGATTATTAAACAGTACAAAAATTTTTGTTTACTTTTTTATCTCTTAATAAATATAATAAACTTAATATCCAGGCATTTTTACAAGAAAAGAAAAAATATAGAGATATTTATGACTTCAACTTCTCCATTTATTAAAGCATTTTAGTTTTTGATTTTTTTTAAGTCACACAAGTGCATCTTTAATTGAGTTGAAAGAGACCGAAATACATGACTATATAGAAGGCACCCTACCAAAATTTTTTTTTCCTCATACAAGTACATCAGTTTTAGCATGGTTTTCTTCAAGAAAAAGTGGTTTGTATATAATTTGAATAGCTATTAATTTCTAAACAAATTATGAATTTATTAACAAATTTAAATTACAAATAAAAATAAAAATAGTATTTATATATATTTAATAATATAATATTTTTCATATTTATAAACTATATTATGGAGTTAATAAGATCAATAAGATTGTTTTTTTTTTCGTTTGTTTCTGGAATTCTGTATTACAAAAGTGGTTTATCCAAACTATTGACAGATTCTAGAAGATTGGTGCAAATTAAATGTTCATTGAAGAATCGGTTTTAAAAATTATTAGATTTAAATGAATTTTCTAATTTAAAAAATACTTATTTTTGTGTGTGTTGTGTAGTGATATATTACTCATATGCAATAGTTGTTATTTAAAGAATTGTTTTCATTTGAAACATCTGAAAAAGCTTTTATAAAATCCTTACCTTTAGTTTTGATGTTGTATATAGATATCAGATTGTAATCAACATTTAAAGAACAAGTTTCTTTAAATGTTTTAAATGAAACCAACCCAAAATATTTAGACTATCTAATGCAAAACATGTTTTTTAAAAATTTAAAAGTTTTATCTATTTATATTTTATTAAACAAGACATTTTATAAACAAAATGTTTTGTTCAATAAATTTTTGTTCAATAAATTGTACATAATATGTAGTTTTGGCTTTTTACTTAAATTTTTTTTCAATAGTCTTTCAAAATGACTTGACTCAACTTTATGATAAAATTACTTCAAATCTTGTCATCTTTTGTTTTGTAACAACTCATTAGTTTCTTTAAATTCTTATGGCAATAGGTGCACCTCTTAACCTTTTAAAAAACAAACCTTTTTAGATAAGGTTACTTTATGCAGAAACAAGTATGATACTTTGAAAGATGTTGTTCCTATAAAGACTATTAATGTTGTATCCTGTAAGACTCTAATTAAAAGAAATTGAATTTAAAAAAACAAAGTTTATGATTTTTCTTTAGAAGCTTTCAGTGATTACACAAACTTTGCTGAAAATAATATGGATAAAGCACAGTTTTCTTTTTTGATTGGCGATCATGCTAAAGAAATGTAAGTTTTTATTATTTTTTTTAATCAGTAATTTTAAAGTAATTTTCTTTAGGTTTGTTAAACTATTTTCACAAAAATTTAGTTTGAAAATTTCTTCGGATGATGTCTTCTTTGCAGTTTACAAGGGACCTAATAAAGTTCAGCCTGTTTCTATTTTTACTGGCCAATATAATAAAGAGTCACTGGATGTGTTTATGAAAACAATGATGGTTGAAATATTTGTAAGTAATTATCTCAAAACTACACAGAGATGATTTGATTATTTATAAACTGTTTTTCATATTATTAGGCCCCCCTACCTCTTTAAGCCTCTCTAAAACAATAAATAGTTTTTAATTTTTTTTTTTTTTTTTTATAATTAAGCGTGAAAATATTTTGAACAGAATCCAACAAATATTTTAAATATATTTTAATTTTTTATATATATTGTAATACTATGAAAAATTTATTCTATGTATCGATACTATTTGCCTAGCTTCTAACTTGAAAGTTGATGTATGTTTGCTCTCATTTAATATTATCTTAGTGTTGTAGCAATTACTGGATTTAAACTTAGTTTGTATTACCAACTTTTCCAGTTTATTGCATTTTTGTTCAATGCTCTAACCAACCAATTATTTTAACATTTGTGTTTATCGTTATAACCAACAAAGCTATCCAGTTTCTGAGGAATTTACACTATATTTCATCTATTTATTGTTTATTTATATTATGACCATCATTCCATTTTTATATTTATATCATTATTATATCATATTATAGAGGTTCTCTATATAGATAATCATGTTTAAAAAAAAAAATAATAACAAGACTTATACTATATCTTATGTTTTTCAGTGTTCAGATTTTTCTGACCTTTGTATAGTTTAAAAGTAGAAATATAAAATAGCACTTAAATTATCTTATATTACAAAATAGTAAAAATAAAAAGTAAAGCAGTCATCATTGTAATCATGACAACGAATGTTAACATAATACTTTGTCAAATGGAACCCAACACTGACTTAATCATGAATTGTTTATTTTAAATTTATTTTGTATCTATAGGTATGATTATCACATTAACATTTTAGTTTTTGTTAGCACAAGCACAAGCTCTGTACTAGCCATCGTCATAAAAGCATGCAGTATATTATTTACTGCATTGAAATTTTTAAGATTTTTTTTTATCAAGTAAACATTCAGTTTATGTGATCATTAGAGGTTCTCTATAAAAACAATTTCTCTATCTGGTACAAAGCAGAAATAGCTTCTTGTTCTTTGAACTGGTCGCATCCCTTTCTTATTGTTCCTCGAGGTTAAAAAAATTTTCATGGCTATTGATATCAATGCTTGAAAGTTAAAAGATCTTAACATCTATAATGTTTTGTAGCCCATATAAACAGTTTGTGTGATGCAAGAACCTGATTTGTTATTGCTGCTTGTAGTCTTCTTTTTTCTCCTATTTTTTTCTCTTACTATGAGACATAGTGAAGAAACGATGCTGCACCATTGCTATAGCTTTAAATATAATAATAATATTTATATTGATAATATATTTATATTATAGTTAAATATATTTATATTATAGATATTTGACATTTATGAAATAAGCTTATGTCAGTTTTTAAACAAGCCTAGATTTTGTAATAGAGAAATAAACAAAGTATTTAGTTGATTTTATATGTTGACCTAAAGAATTTATAAATATCCAAAGTATTAAGTTGATTTTATATGTTGACCTAAAAAATTTATATGTTGACCTAAAGAATTCATATGTTGACCTAAAGAATTTATAAATATCCAAAATTAAAAAAATAGTCTTTATATTCGCAAATTCATTTATCAAGAAAAAAGGTTTTGTTGATTTGTTAACAATGGGAGACTTCAATTTTTCCAGTTTGCAACAGTCAAGTAGTCATTTACAACTTATTGAAAGTGTTGGTAATTTAATACATAAGTAAATTATATACATAAGTAATAAAAGAACAGCAAATAGTCCTATAAAAGCAGTCAAAAATATTTAGTGAGTTTAAAAAGTATCCGAGAATTATCATAAGCTAGAAATTTAAGAATAGTGGAATGGTGTTTGGACCCGAAGCTATTATTTGAATTTAGGTTTGTAATTTTTAAATATTTTTAGGTTTGTAATTTTGAAATAATTTTGGAAGTTAGTATGGGATAATGTGTTATCATTGATAAGTTTTATTATTTTAATCCCAATTTATTTTCAATTAATAGTTTTTGAACTCATAATCATTAAGTTTCTTGAAGTTTTAGCAAAAAAAAAATTCATGTAAAGCTTATTTTTTTTAAAAAGATAGAAGTTAAATTGCCAGAGAAAATATTTTTACATATTAAATTAAAAAATTAAAAATTATTAATTAAAAATTGTGTTATCAACTTTTTAACTTTCTGAGAGATTAAAAGTTATTAATTAAAAATTGTGTTATCAACTTTTTAACTTTCTGAGTGATTAAAAATTATTAATTAAAAATTGTGTTATCAACTTTTTAACTTTCTGAGTGATTTGTAATTCTTGTAAGTATAGATATAATTTGAAGAAAGTTGTTTGAGGTTTGAGATTTAAATATTCAGAGATGGATGCTTTTATAAGATCTATATTAAAATTGCTCATTAAATAGATTTTTTGGATTATGTTTATGGCGTAACTAGATTTATTGGAGTTTTTAATGGTAAATCATTTTTCAGTTTAGTTTCTGAAAGTTTTATTGGCATTTGAAGTTGGTTTTCTAAAGTATCAAAAAATTTTATATTAGAAATTGGTTGAGTTTGTCAATACATTTATAACAACATCATTGTTGTTAATAAGTAATTTTTAACTTTTAATAAGTAAAAAACTATTGAGTTGATTGAAGATTTTCTAGAGTTAAGAAAGTTCATTACAGAATGTAATATATTGTTTGAAAAAATTCATCACACATGCTTTTATTATTTTCAAACAATTAAATTTTAATTACAATGGAGGTATTTAACATAAAGTTTAACGTTAATTTATTCTAAATGTTGTATTATTAATTATATAGTCTTATTAATGCATAAATATGTTAAATGCTTATTGATTTTAAATAATTATAGAAATAACTGCAATTAATTTTAAAGGGCAAGCTTACCCCAAGAAATCTTCCAGCATATAAACTTCTGAATAAGCCACTCATGGTATTATTTATAAATGAAAAAGAAATTAATCACTCATTGGAATGGAAGGCTATAGAACAAATGGTGAAAGATAATTTGTTTAAAAATGTTGTTCCTGTCTGGATGAACACGTGAGTCATTTGTAATTAAAGATTCTTAACTAACCTTTTTTTAGTTTACAGTTTTTATATTTAAAATTAAAATTTTTAATTAACTATGAAATGAAGAATGAGTAATAAACTTTAATAAATTGTTTGATGTCGTTGTTATTAAAAAAAAGGGGAAGGGGGGCATATTTTGCTATTGTTATTACTCAATACCAACAACAACTAGGGTAGGTGAGGGTAATATGAGCACCTTAGGGGAAAATTGAATATTTTCAAAAATAATTAAGCTGGATCCAACAAATTTGTGAATAAACAATTTTTATGGATCCCTACTTGAAATCCACTTAGATATATGGGCACCCGAAATTAAAAAAAAAAAAAAAAAAGGGTTTTAGAAAAGTAGCAAAAGTGCTCATATTACCTAGATCACTTGGTAATATGAGCACTTTAAATTAGCTCAAAAAAAATAATATAAATTATGTAAAAAATACCAACCTGACAAATAGAATATTTGGGATATTATGGCGTTATTAACAAAACTTATCATTAAAAGTTCAAATTTAAGACACTTTTTGTTGAACCAGTTCTCTATGTTTTTCGCAAAAAAAATTACTTTGTCATTTTTTCAATTTTATTAACTCAAACCTTTAAACGATAAAAATTCACATTTTTTGAGTTTAAATTACAGAAAAATATTTAATAATGTTAGATTAAAATTTTTTACTATGTTTTGATTTTATTTAAAAAGCAATTAAAAATTACTGCTATTTTAGAGCTTTAAACTAGGTAATTTTAATGAAGAACATTTTGGGTAATTTGAGCATGCTCATATTACACAAAAATGGTTTCTTCAAATAATGTCAAAAGTAAATGTTTCTACGTATTGCTTTTCAAACAAATAAAAATCAGATTTTTAGCTAACATATTTTTCTTTATGAAAAAATTAATTTCATTATTTTAGCACCAAAATTTTGCACCAATGATTTATTCATGCGTGATGATATTATTTAACAACGCAAAAAATATAAAAGCATTTTAATTAGATGATAGCCGGTAATTACTGCATATAAATTTACGCTAATTTTACTGATTCCTGTTATCACCACATAAAGACGATTCGAAAAATAAAAAGCAACTTCACTTCTAACATCTGAGAAATCTTAAAGTATGCTCATATTACCAAGGTGCTCATATCACCCTTATCTACCCTACATGAACTAAAATTCTTTATTATTTTTATCAGAATATCAACTGAAAAGAAAAATACAGGATGTTTTATACATTCTCCTTATGCATGTTTATTCAAGATATTTATTTCAAGGGTTATTTGTTAAAATGAGTTTTTGTTGTGAGAACTTATTTTGGATTATTAGCAAGTGGTTTTCATATCAACACCCAAGATAAATAAAATATAGTTTTAATTCAATAGAATATGGAGAAAAAAATAAATATTATAAACATAAGAAACAAAAAACATAATATAAAAATTAATTAAAATAAAATTGTTCTAAATTTGATTTATTATGCAATTGGAAATTTTAAATTATGTATCAACAATTTAACAAATTGAGTTTAAAAAGTGTATGTAGTTTAAATTTTTATAGGTTTTATAATTTCTATTGATAATGTCAATGTTGGCTAATAAACACTATATTAAAATTTACAATCTATTAATTACAAAAGTTTACAAATCTATTAATTAAGGAAGTTGCAGAAATTTTCTTTATAAAATCTCAATTGTTCTGTCATTTCATAAAGTAGTAGGAAAGATCTATTTATCAACTAATACATCCATTAACTTTTATGGCATTAAAAATAACTTATTTATTGGTAACATGATTTCTATGTAATAAAAATATGATATTACATAGTATTATTTGATATTATGTCATATTTATTCCTTTAACTTTATATGTTGATATACATTTATTTGCTATAATTGTTTACTATTGTCTTGTAAATACTGGTATACTTTTGATTTGCTTTTTTTTGTGTGTATACTTTTAATTACTTGAATGATAATTTTTTTAAGAGAGGATGCATTGTCAAGAAAAATTCGTACAAGTTACATTGGTTTACAGAAACACAACAATGTTAACCTTGTTGTAGTTAATCATACAAAGGTATATTATATTAATATATATATATATATATATATATATATATATATATATATATATATATATATATATATATATATATATATATATATGTATATGTATATATATATGTATGTATGTATGTATATATATATATATATATATATATATATATATATATATATATATATATATATATATATATATATATATATATATATATATATATATATATATATATATATATATATATATATATATTAAAATTTGAGGACCCTTTTTTTTTTTGACATTTTTATGGCAAATATTGTTTGTTTGTTTGTTTTTTGCAAAAAAAAAAACACTGATTTATATATATATATATATATATATATATATATATATATATATATATATATATATATATATATATATATATATATATATATATATATATATATATATATATACAAATAGTATTGCGTACTATTGTAAACAATCTGACGTCATACTGAAATAGCCTGCTGCTGGGGGCTTCAGTACATACATCGACTGACAAATAGCCTGACTCGCAGTGGAGTGCTGCTACATCGACTGAGGGTTTGGGATGGGGAAGCAATCGTTTCATTCATCATTCTTTGTTTTTTCTTCTTTTTCGAAAAAAACGGTATAGCTTAAGGTAAGCAGAAAAAGTGAGCAAATGCTTATCAAAACACGCTTTAGTAAGTGTATATATATATATTATATATATATATATATATATATATATATATATATATATATATATATATATATATATATCCTTTAACATTTAAAGTATAATATATAAAGGATATATATATATATATATATATATATATATATATATATATATATATATATATATATATATACACAAAGATATTCCAAAGATCATAATTGTTTTATAAAAAACATATTAAAAAATATATATCAGTGCCCCCTGGCCCCCATCTCCCCTCCCGGGTATTGTCAGCCCTGTTATCTGGCTTCCCACTTTTTTTCTAAAAGACTTTTTTTTTTTATTATTTAATTTTTTCACTCTAGATATAGAGGACTTTTTTTTAGAAATTGATGATAGTGCCCCTCCAATTAAAAAAACTTTTGTCGTCGGCCCAGTATATAGAAACAAAAATTTTGTAAAAATACACTTTTTTATTTTTAGTTTAAAATCAATAGTTTTCATGCAGTATTATAGTATAACCTCTAACTTGAAGTTTAATTTGGTTACAAATTTATTTTAAGCTGTTTTGAACACAGATCACTAAGACAGATGTTACATAAGTTCTTAAATTTTCACCAATTAAGTTAAAACAATACAGTTATAAATACGATTAAAATGAATTTTTATCATTTTATCGCCACCTGTTGTTGTTAGTTTAAATAGTAGCTTAAATTAAATAAAATAGGTACCTTTGTATTTGTATGTGTGTGTGCATGTGTGTGTTTGTGTGTGTGTGTGTGTGTGTGTGTGCCTGTGTGTGTGTGCCTGTGTGTGTGTGTCAGTAAAAATTACATTTGTTTATAACTTTTTATAGTGTTGATCATGTTTTTTTTTTTCTTTTTACATTTTATGTATGTAGAAATAGTATTAAAAACAAAATTAATAAATTGTTTATTGGTTAAAAACTTTGAATTTAGGGTGAAGTATACTATCTCCCTACATCTAAAGTCACTGTTAAAGAAGTATTAATTCAGGAGATTAGCATTTGGCTTTTATCATTAGAGTCAGGAAAACTAAATGCTACATGTAAATATGATTCTGTATTTCTTTAATATTTTTGAAAATTTTTTTTGGGACTAAATATAAGGTTAATTATGTTAAACTATTTTTTGAAACCAAACGTGATAGTGGTAAAGTGCTCACTTCATAAGCAAGAAGTTCTAAGTTTGATCCCCATCACGTCTCTAGTTATACTATCAATTTGTCTCTCAGCACAGTGGCTTGTTTGTCAAGGCTGTAACCATAATTACCTCCTCAACTATAGTGGCTTTCTTGGACTTGGAGAGGTGAATTAACATTAAAAAAAAAACTGTTTCAAAAATTTATAAAATTATTTTTGAGCTTAAAACTCTGCTTCAAAAAATGCCTGGAACACTGTTCCATTTTTAATCTTTTAAAGCCTTTTTAATGATATAATGATATAAGCAAACCTTATTTGCCTTATTTATAAAAATATATTAGTTTTAAAATCTTTTTCACAATATGAAAATTAAATAAATTTATTTTAATAAAAATGTTCCATATTTATTTATTTTTTAAATATTTTTTTGCTTATTACTAGAGGTCATAAAGGCAAGTAGTAGTAACAAGCAAGCCAGCAGTACTATAACTTCTTTCTGCATCTATGAAAAAAAGAAAACTTAAAACAACATTTGAGTTTTTTTCTGAGCCTTCAAGTATTGCCATTTCATGTTCAATAAATCAAAATTTTTTGATGGGGAAAAAAAACATACATATATTTTTTATTCTGATTTACTCTCAACAAGGCTGCAAATAACCACTATTAAGTTGGGAGTTACTAGAAAATAAAGCAAAGAGTTTAAGAGCAAGGAAATGGTTGGCAGAAGACTAGGCTTTAGGTTGTATGAGTAAAAACATGAAAATGGGAGAAGATTTTTTTAGAGCATGCAGGAACAGATACAGTAAAAAGGAGACTTTGCTGAATGACAATTCAAGCAAGAGTGAATTTTGGTTGATGGAACTAGAGATAAGAGCTCTTTTGAGCAGCAACCATGATAGTACTTGTAGAAAAAGAAAAGAGACACAACCTTATAGAAATGAGAGAGAGGCTCAAGCTCGGCAGATTAGGTACAACTATGTTTACAACTATGTACAACTATATTTACAATCCATTTTTACACCTTATCTAGAGAAGAGAAAAAGCATCATTAAAAGAACCATCCCAAATATGACAGTATTTGAATAACAGTATTTAAATAAGAGATTTGTTGAGGTAGAGAATTGAATCAAGAGTAAGAAAATGGCAAGCATGATAAAGAGAAGCAACTTTAGCGGATGCTAATTTAGCAGTTAAATATTGAAAATAGCAAGAAGAACAATGATCCAAAAAGGTGCAAAGAAGAGAACTCAAAGAGAGGATTACTATTCATTAATATAGGAATGACAACAGTATTGCAATAGCTGTTTGCAGTAAATAACTGATATTTGTTGGAGTTAAAATTTACAAGCTACTGCAAGCCCCAATCTGTTGTAAAAGTGAGATCAGATTCAAGATTAGTTGCCTGTTCTAAGTGATCGAAAAAAGAAGACTTTTTGTCCAGACATGAGTATAAAGTTGAGTCATGAGCGAATTGAGCCACTCTAGATTGTCAGGAAGATTATTGATTTAGATAAGAAACAAAACAGGACCAAGATTAGAACCTTAAGGAAATAAAGAAGAGTGCCTTCGAGAATGACTTTTATAAAGCGGTTAAAAACAAATAAGTTGATAATCTCAAAATCTTTCACAGATACACTTTATAAAGCAAGCTTATGGAGAAATCCAGCATGCCAAACTTTATTAAAAGCTTAAGATGTGTCAATAGCAATAGACCTAGCCTCACAGCCTCTATCTAATGCACAAAAAAATCTTTCAGTCACAGTAGTTAGTAAGTCATCTGGAGATTAAGAAGATAGAAAACCGTATTGTTTGACAGTAAGTTGTTTGACTTAAGATGTTAGAAGTTTGTTGTTGGAAGACTTAAAGACTGATTGGTCGATAGTTAAAGGGGTCATAATGTTCCAAATTTTTTTTAAAAAATTGGAACAACAGATGCCATTTCCCAGCAGGCAGAAAAACAAGATTCAGTTAAGCGTTTATTAAATAGTTTAGAGAGAGTTAAAGAGAGTTTGGGAAAACACTTTTGCAAGACTATCACAGGAATGTTTTATGGACTAAAAGCTGTAAAAAAGTTTAAATGAAATATGACTTAAGCAAATGATTTGAATATTTAACAATTGGTTAACTTATTTAACTGGAATGGAAGAAATATTCGAGTAAAATTAAAAATATAAAATTCGAGTCAGATTCTCCACAAAATTATTCACAATTGTGAACTCTTCTTACTTTTGAAATTTGATAAAAACAGGAAAAAACGATGCGTTTTACCGTCACATTCTTTGTCTGATATGAGAGAAAGGTGTCTAATTTTTGTAAAAATAACTTTCGCAAAACACTCTGAGTTCATTTATAAGGCTTTTTAAACTGAAAATTCAATTTTCATTAAGTTCAACATAATAATTATTAAGTTTATTAAAAATTTACCAAAATTATTTTTTAGAAAAAATTAAAATTTGTTTTCGTTCATTAGTCATATTTTAGTCATTTTACACTCAAAACAACGCGTTAATCGAGTTAGAAGAAAAGTTCTTTACAAATAGTTCAGCCTTGTTCTTGAGTGAGGTAATAAGATCAGTCCCATGAATGTGAGATGGAATGTTAGACCTATCTTTGTTAATGATTCTGTAAGATATTTTCCAGAAGTCTTTAGAGCCTAACCTCTGAGATAAGATACAAGATTTAGCAATTGAAATATATGGAATAATGAAGCTAAGCATAAGACAACGCCTTTTTACATTGATAAATAATCATTTGTTCTCGAGAGAGTTGTTCTTTTAAAAAAGACTTATAATTAGATATAGCAGCTGCATGAGAAGGTGAATGCATAGAGTAGATGCAATGAATCCTGAATGAATAAGAGCTTCCATTCCTGTCTTGATCCAAGAGAGCTAGCACAATGTTCTGGAAACCTTACTACCAGCTGGCCTCAGAACCGTTAAAATGAGTTTTAGAGCTGTACCCTCATTAGGAGAAAACTGGAAGAGTTACATAGCCACTATCAATTATCTATGAGTAAAGTCAAGAAGATCTATTCATCATCCTAGGAAGGAAACAATGTAGCACAAGTTTACATCAATTCCAGCCTAATAGATAAAGAAGGGGTTCAAGACCAATTCTTGTCAACAGAATTATTGTGCTTATCACTAAAGTCTTTGCCTACGAGATCTTCTATAAGACAGTAGGTTGGTGCAGTTAACATGTGCCTAAGAACAGTTAACATGTGCCTAAGAACAGTATTTTTATTGAGAAACAATAATCTTATTTTTGTAACCAAAAAAAAACAATCTAATTATATGAACATTGACAGTTTTGACTAGTGAGAGAACATCCTCAGTTTCAAATGGTGAGAGAACATAGACACTTTTAACTGGTGAGAGAACATCTACAGTTTCAACTAAGGAGAGAGCTTCCCATCTTTTATCTGGTGAGAAAACATCAACAGTTTTGGTTTCAACAAAGACAAACAAAGGTTGAATAGTAAGAAAGGTCAATTTTGTCCTTTTTTTGAAAATTTTACTTGCTGTGCCCTCAGATAGTTTAAAAACCGTGTCAGAAAATGGAACCAACTTCCTTTTTTTTTTCTACTTAATTCAAATTTTTTGGAAATGATTAGAAAATTTCAGTAAAAACATCAGTTTAAATAAAAATTTATGTAACAATTGAGAAAAGAGTGGCTTTATAATTTCCAGTTTTTTTAATAAGAAATAAATATTTTTGAGCTCTTTCCTCGTTTAAAATAGGAATGCTTTTGTCATTATTTTTCCTCAAAATGAAAAAACTGCAGTTTCACTTGTTAATTGAATTTTAAAATGCTTATTCTGTAAAGAATAAGCTTTTTTTGAAACTTCAGAAACGAGCTTTACAGCACGCTCGACAGACTAACTGTGTAATGGAAAGTCTTAGCCAAGTCAGGAACTTCATAATATGAAGTTCCTGACAAGATAAGCTCTAAGTAGCAGGAGGCTCATAGATTAGTTGATAATCAAAAACCAGTTCTTTCCATGTATGAAACTCAATATTCAAATTTTCATTGTTAAGGGTTTTGTTCACTCTAATACCACCTGCAGCTGGAGGATTGTCTTGACATTTTAATATCAGCCTAACTGCTCTAGTTTGTTCATCTTTCAAATCATCTACAAGGAGAGATAAAAAAAAGTTTTCTGGGAGAAGGCAATAAGCATTTCTTAAAACAACGGGTAGTATATTGTCTTGCATAAGTTGGTTAAAAGTTTTTTATTATTTTCAATTTTGTGTAAAATTCTTGGGCCTTATTTAAAATTTTTAGATTTCTTAATTTCAAATAAAGTAGACCATACTCACACATACTGTTTGTATGTACTTTGCAATTTCTTTAAGAACTGGAGTAGGTTGTTCTATATATATATATATATATATATATATATATATATATATATATATATATATATATATATATATATATATATATATATATATATATATAGTAAAAAAAAAGAAGTTAAAGTTGCTTTACAATTATAAGAATATATGAGTTTTGGTATGAAAAAAAAATTTAAATAAAATTTTTTATACTATTATATACACATAAAGGTTTAAGCTTTAAAGGTTTTTTTTATATGGGCTATGTAGTAGTCTCATGAAATATAAAAAAGAGGCCTAGAACTGCATAAAAATACCTAAAATTAGTTATTGAATATATGTTTAGTTTTTAAAATGCACAAAATAATTTCTAATCAGAATGCCACATTAATATTAGTTTTTTTTTATAACTTTGATTTTTTAAAAAATTTAAGCTAGTAACTATGCAAAATAAATTGTTACCAGGTATTTCAGGTATCACGGTCAATCAAATAAAAAAAATCCTTAGTACCACTACGTTTGTAGTATAATAATACTGTATGTGATAATATGGGAGTAATTTAATAAAATTGTTACAGACACTATAATTAAAAAATATAATTGATAAACTGAACTAAAAAAATTTAGTTCAGTTTATCTTTATTATAGTTAATAAAATATGTGGTTGCTAAGTAATTTAGGTATCCATAGAGACCCAAAATTAAAACTAATGTCACCATTGAAACCTCAATCCTCAAATTAGTAAAGAGTGCAAAAATGGTGCTTAAACTTAATATAGTAAAGAGTGCAAAAATGGAGTTAATAGTTTTGTCCAGTAAAAGTAAATTCTAGCCAATTGTGCGTTTGCTGTTTTTTAAACAAATTCTACCTGGGTTTGCAAAAATTTCTATTTTCTTTTGAATTGCGAATGTCGTAAAAAATAAAATAATTTGTTCTTATAAACCCTAATGCAAAAAAATTAGGTCAACTTTGTTAAAAATTTTTAATTAGTTCTTTATTAGTCTAAAAAACTCTAGCTATCTGAGTGGATAGGTAAGTCAAATTCAAAAATAGACCTCTCTTATTAAATAGGCATTTTATAACCCTTTTGTAGCACATAAACAGTTATAGCTTGAAATTTACTCATTACTCTGATTATCATCCTAATAGTAGCAGCTGAAACTCTTAACAACATTTTATTTATTCTTTTTGTTGCACATAAACTTTAGTTCGTAAAGACTTCAATAGCCACATGCTAGGCCTGGGCATTTACTTTCGTAAGGATAACAAATCCTGCTTTTCAGTAGGGTGGATAACAAGACTCTGATAAGCACTTGTTAAATAGTTTTAAAACTATAAACAACAGCTCCTAAAAACATTTCTGCAAAACTATAACAGGAATATATATTGCCCGGACCTCCAGCTATAGAAGACTCTAAGCAGGAAATCACTTTAGATGCAGAAGCTGGAGTGATATGAATGTCAAGCAATGGATCAACCTGTTTGTCAGCTATATCAGGTGAGACATGATTAGAGGAATTAAGAGATAAGATTAATGAAAAGTTCTTAGCAAACAATTCAGCTTTAAGTGAGGTAACAAAATCGGAACTGTACAAGAGAGATGGAATATAGAATTTGCCCTTGTTATTAATGCTGTTAAAGATTATCCAGAAGTCTCGGGAGCCTAATTTTTTAGATAAATTAAGAAATTTCGTGACCTTAAAATAGTGGGCTTTGGTGTTAGACCAAACTTTTTTACAATGGTTTCTAGCAATAGTAAACAGATGTCTGTTTTCTGGAAAATTGTTTTGGTGATAGATATGGAAGTAATGGTTACAATTGAAAATTGCACTAGCACAAAGAGAGGAAAACCATGGAAAAGAGTGAGAATCGACTTGGAATTGTTGAGAGGAAATAAAATTCTATTCCATACCTGTCTGAATCCAAGAAGTTACATAAGAAGCATATTCGTCAGCAGGAAGACGAAAGATTTCATGGAAAAAGTCCCAGTCAGTTTTAAGGTAGTTGTAAGAGGTATGATGATAGGGGGATTCTGATAATGAAGAATGAGTTTTAGTTAGATCAAACTGTGACTAGAAGCACCTTAGGGTGAATGTGGAGAAACTGAGTACTGACTAGGATCAGAAACAAGACATAAGTCAAATAGAGAAAGTAAATGATTCTGATTGCCTGGAAAGCGAGTTGAGATGTAGGCAATTTGTGTTAGAGATTGAGAAAAGTAAAAGATGTGTTCTCTAATACCTGAAGAGTTATTGATACTAGAGCCGTGTTATGGGTTAAAGTAGTATAAAAGTTGTCCTTGATGGACAGCGCTTTTCTTCATTCCCTGTAACTTCAGAGGTTCCTCAATGTTCTATCCTTTTCCCTATACTTTTTTGATATAACATAAGCAATCTCCCAGAAATTCTCACACCTATGGTGGCATTGTTTGCTGATGACACTACCATTTCTTCTTGTCATGATAAGAAGCCAATACTCTCCGATTGCTTGGTGGGCATCTGAGCTTGAAAAGAATCTCACTTCTGCTACAGCATGGGGCTCACTGTGGCTGGTGAACTTTGATTCAAATAAAACTCAATTTTATTCAGCTAATCGTTATCGCAATAATTTAGATCTTTCTATATTTATGAACGGTAATGTACTCGATGAGTCATCTACCCTTCATCTTCTAAGCTTAACTCTTACTTATTCTAATAAGAATAAGTAAGAGTTAATCTTAGAAGATGAAGGGTAGAAATCTTTCTTGGAAACCGTATATCAAATCCATTGCAAATTTAGCATCTGCTAAGGTTGAATCTCATTTATCGAGCTCGACACTTTCTTATTCCGGATTCTATTCTTTATCTCTATAAATCTCAAATCCATCCTTGCATGGAATACTGTTGCCATATCTGGGGCGAATCTTCTAATGATGCAATTTTTCTTTTAGACTAGATGCAAATACGCATTGTAAATATAGTTGGACCTGCTGTTGCAGCCAACCTCCTACTTTTATCACATCGTAACATTGCTTCTCTTTCTCTTTTCTACAAATACTATAATGGGCACTGGTCTAAAGAGCTAGCTTCTCTTGTGCCATTTATTAAAATCATTCGTGTTACTTGTCATTTAATTAAGTCTCATCCTTTTTCTGTGACTGTTCCTAAGTGTTCCAAAAACTCTTATTACTCTAGTTTTTTTCCTGGAAAATCAGTTCTTTGGAATTCGCTCCCTTTATCTTGTTTTCCTGACTCATTTAATTTATAATTTTTTTTGCAAGTTTTGAAATATTATTTGTTGCAGCCTTTTGTTTTTCTTAACAATATTTTTTTCTATCAGTTTCATTTTATATCGATTTAGATATTGTTATCTAGTATTGTAACTTCAAATGGTTAATTATAGCAATTGCTTATCTACCCAATATGGTCTAATCAACTTTTTGTATCGTTCTTAAAAAACTTCTACAAATAATTATTATTAAATTAAAAAAACAGTATTTTTACATGAAAAAATTTGACAGTGTCGCTTTAATTTATTTGTTAAAACTTCAAGTTATAGAAGCACAAATTATATTAGTAATCACAAAGTATTTAAAAAGATCATTGACATCATTATAATTAAACAAAACCTATTTAAAATTAATTTTTTAAATCTGTTTTAATCTTATGATGAAAATGAGAAACGAAAAAATAATTGAAAAAATAAAATGTGTCAGACACTAAAGCAACTTTAAAGAAACCAAGACAAGGCGACAGTGTCAATGTGTTAAAATAGTGCCATAAGTTTAAAGTAAAGCCAATTAACCAATAGTACCAAAGTGAGCACGCAAATTTTTAAATGCATTTATCAAATTTAAATTGTGTTAGCAAAATTCTTGGCTTTCGGGTACATAGTTATTTGGCAAAAAATTTTTCTGCACTCATAAAAAAAACATGAATCGAATGGAAGGGGATTCTAGCTTTTCAGCTCCTTATTCATATTAATAAATAATTTAATAGTTTTAAATAATAATAATTAAAAGTTGTATTAGTTTTTTAACTTTAATTTGTAAATTACAGCTACAAAATATGTCAATTAACAAAAAAAAATTAAAAAAATATGGCTAGCCCAAAATGTGCCAACAGAGTTATGTATTTGTTCTAAGCATAATTAATGCTTTTGTGCCAATTAACGCAGAATGTGGGTGCCCCAACTGCAAATTAAATTTTTCGCCAACAAACAAAACGTAATTGGTCTAACTGGCGCCAACTAATTTTTCTATATTAAATTTGTTTATAGCATTCTTAATGGTCCGCCACTGGAAACCTTTAAGCGAGGGTATTGATTTCGACCATGATATTCAGAAAACACACCAAGTTAAACACCAATCATCAAAAAGAATGTTTTTTGGGGATGATGTTAAAGATGACACAGTCTTTTATAGAAGTAATCATAACAGCGTAATAAGCAGCAACACTGAGGAAGATTTTCGATTTCCCCATCAACAACATGTAATTCATGACGAGCTTTGAATAACTTGGTTTTTATAATATATTACAAATATAGTATATTATTTGAAAAATATTATTTTGTAAATAAATTTTAAAATTGATATTTTGTTTATTGATAAAGTTGTATTGTTTTAAGTTTTAGTTTTTTTATACGTAAGTTTTATTATTAAAAGTATTCATATATACGCTTTTTATACGTTATATATAAAGTAAAATGCATTTAATTTTTTTTTTTTGCAAAGAAAGTATATATGTATATATTGTTGTAAATATTTTTTTTCTACAAATAATGAAATTCAGCGTTGTAATTATTAGTTTTAAAGTATATGTTGTAAAGGCCATCTAAATAATACTAATAAGGCTGTCTAGGTGGAGGATAGGGAACTATCACATGGGAATAGAGGGGATTTTTTATATCTTATATATTACTCTTAAATTTTCATTGCATCTCAATAATCTCGCAATAATGCAAATATATTAATAATAAAAAATAAATAATGCAAGCTCGGAGATATATATATATTTTTTTCAAATAAACTTATTCGATTATTTAAAATTTTTAAGTAACTCTCTCATTTTTTTCAATTTAACAACAACTTTATTTTTTATAACTATTAAAGGAGTTAAAAAAATTGTTAAGAACTCGAGAAGAAATTATTAAATTCTTTTGTGTTAGATGTATATTATACATGGAGGATGTATATTATACAAAAAAGTTGTACAGGAGTTATGTAATTATACTATAACTACATAACTCCTGTATAACTCTCTTGTATTGCATGCACAAAAAATACCTCTCCGTTTAGTTCTACATCTGATTTGTAATTGATTTTAATCAGAATTGGGCAATCTAACATCAATTGTTAAGGGATCGAACATAATTCAAGTCTTGCAAGGAAAGTATTAGCTGTCATTTAATCTTGTTTGCCAAGATATCAAATGTGTCAGGGAGGACGGAAAAAACTGTGTGGTGTTCAGAGAGTTTGGAAAAGAGAATTGAAGGTGCAGCTCAGTCATAAAGTTATTTTTTTAAATCTTTGTTTCTGTGTAATATTTATCATTTAAACGTTTCATGTTATTTTATAATTTGAACCCGTTGAAAAGCAGTTTTAATTTTTTAAGGAAAAAGCTTTGCAAGATGCAGAAGAAATACATAAATGTTTCTAGTGCCAAAAATTCGATCAATGAATTTGATTTACTTTTTGATATATTCAGATCAGAGTTTAAGCCAAGATAGGAACCATGAAAAGGTTCAAGAAGACTTAACATTCCTGAAGATAAGAGTCGAGAGAGAAAGATGATGATTCAGGATAAGATAAGGACTGTTTGAAAGAAGTTAGAATTAAAGTTGCATTTAGAATAGGTTTTTAATCTTTTTGCTGTTGTTTTATTGATCTTTATTTTTGTTTGGACTGAAATAAAGCTTATAAAGTTAGATCAGATTGGAAGGCAAAAGGAAAAAGAGAAGAAATGACAGAGTTTTTTAAAAAAATGTATTTGTTACAGAAGAAGCTGAGGTTTCTGAAAATGAGGTTTCTGAAAATGAGGTTTCTGAAAATGAAGATATTAAATCAGAGTATTCGGTTTCTAATTCGGAATATGATTCAAATGTCTCAGAGTCTAATTATATTTCTTGTAAACAGAATAAGAATAACAAGATTCTCTTAGAGCAAACAACTGAAAAACTTATTAATGCTACATCTGCTTGTGCTACAAGGTACAATATAAGTCATAGAGGCCATTTCCATATGCTAACTAGTATTTTTAATCCTGCTAATGTTAATATAAAAATATCTTTCTATCAACTCTTCATAAAAATCAATATGTAAGTATTTAAAAACATGGTGGTTTTATTAGAAATCAAATCATAGATAAAGTTAAAAGATTAAAGACAAAAGATTAATGTTGCGCATTGATTTTCATTTATATTTGACAAACTGTGCAATTTACACTTGCTGGTAACTCTACCAGCTTCAGCACAAACAATAAATAATAAATAAACAAATTTGTGAAGCAAATTTGTAAGTAGAAGAACATCTCTGTAACAAATGATAGTCTGGAATTTAGTATGTCCACTCCAGATGTTCCAGAATCGGAAAACATTCTTTTAGGTGTTCACATGATTGAAAACTCAAAGTTCAGATTTCACACTTGTAAGAAGTTTTGTTTGGAGTTACAAAGGGTCCACAAAAATCTTTTTATATTAGATTTAAAATGTTCTGAGCAGAAATTTAATAAGGTAAATAAGCATAATAATGTATCTTTGATTTGAGCACTCTAGCTTCTGGTTCAATATTTTATGCAAAAGCTAAAAGGCCCTAACTTTCTTGACTTGTGCCCTTCATAATGAAACCTTTGGTAGATGTGATTACCGCAAGTCAGTCAATATTTTTCGAATCAGTCAAAATTTTCAAGTCAATATTTTTCCTTGGCTGAGATATTACAAACATTAGATTCCCGCAGCCTAGTGCAATCCAAGAGGGAAGATTTATGGCTGATGCATTATATATTTTTTCAATTCAGATGACCCAAGTTATACAAAAGATATTAACAGTTGACGAGGAGGAAAAGTTTAAAGATGCCAGTTTTTTCATAAGTGTTATGCAGGATCGCAGAAAGGGGGAGGAGGGCAAAAGGTTGCTTTCTTAGGCGGCGTGACAGCTCTCGGCGGCCTTGACGTTATGTATTTATTGTTATTTTTTTTAAAGAAATATTTATAGTACCTTTACTGTTTTTATTGCACTAGTTATTTTAGTTGAAAGGTAAGTTGTTACGTTTTGTCAGTATATAACTGTTTGAAACTTTCCTGTCTGCACATAATATTCAATTTTTGTTTTAAAATTGATATTAGTATATTATTATATAATTTTCTTGTTATCTTATAATTTTTAATTCATCATCATTATTATTATCATCATTATTATTTGTATTATTAATACTATTTCATGGTATTTACTTAAGATTAGTTTTTAACTATTTGTAAATCATCTCGATTGTAAGATCTTTTATTGAAATATATTGGTTGGTTCTAGAAAGTGCAAAGATCTTGAAAATACCCTGATAAAAAGTCTATAACACCACACATGGTATTTAGATAAACAACTAGTTGTTCTTGCATTAATAGACAAAGATCTGCCTGATATCACAAAGATAGAAATGATAAAAAGTTTGCTCATGAATGTGAAGCCAAAAAATATTTACACGCAGTTCACACACAAAGGTTCTTAATTTAGACAGAAATCTTATTCTTTAACCTTGTTGATCCAGAAAGTAGGATCCTTTTTGACATTGTTGGTGTTTCTTAGGAAAATGTTATTCAATGGATTAAGGGAGATTTTGGCTGCTGTGATTTAGAGAGACCCAGAAAATATTTTCAGTTTGTGAAAAAATATGCAAGTAACAAATGACTGTGCCAAGAGAAAAATTCACCTTATTCAACATTACGTTTTTGCAAGTAAATCTGTATTTACAGCAAGAGATGAGAGAAAGAAGATGTCTGTTAATGTTCCCAAAAAATGTTAAAAAAAAAAGTGCAAAATAAGAATCGAACAAACTGATATTGTCTCTCTCTGCAACAATGATTTAAAATAATAATTATTTTTATAAATTCATTTTATAGCAAAAATAGTCTTCTTTTTTTTCAGACTGGTAAGTTTTTAGTATTTTTTTGCTATAAAGTTTATTTAATAAGCAACATTTTCCATAAAAAAAAATGAAAAATTGAAAAAATCAAGGTCAATGCAATCCTTTTACTCATAAGGTTATGAACTAAAACTTTAAACATGATCAATTTTGCGGCCGTGGCGCAGTGATTAGAGCGCTTGCTTTATAAGCAGGAGATCCAGATTCAAAACAAGCTTTGGACATATTTTGCGACATGGTAAGGAAGGAGGTGTGAACTTCCTGTTTAAATGCGCTTCCGCGGTGCTCTGTGACAAGATCGTTAGGATTTCTTGGGGCACCAAGAAGTCCTAACAAATTAAAAAAAAAAAATTTGATGTAAATGACAAAAGTTGCAAAATAGAGTGTCCCTGAATTTTGACTTTTGTTAAAACTTGACACAGACTACACAAGTTATACAGTGTATAACCGAATATTATTAAGATGATTTTTATAACGTTGCTAGGTTTTTGGAACAAGATCTAAGGCCGTATTGACCGCGTTCAAAAGAGCCTGCACGATCAAAAAATAAACATTCATAATGCAACTCAGCGAAATTATTTACATGATGAAAGGGAAGTGTTAATTAGCAACTCGCTGAAATAAGGAATTTGAACTTGCAATGAATGGGACATTGAATTTGTCAACTAATAATTGAAGACGTCTAAGAATAAAAAGAAAAAAAACATCGAGAGATGCTGGTTTATCAGAAGAAAAAAATACAAAAAGTTATGTTATGAACTGTTGACCGTCTATTCAATGAATTGAAAAATAGTAGAATTCGTTTGCAAGAAATTGATGAGAAATTCGAATTTCTTCTTGATAAGGAAGGGTTGTGTTTCGAAGCCAAAACAAGCTACCCGAAAAGCGTTATGAAAAATTAGGAAAAGCCTACAGTGATGTAGATGAGCAAGAGTTATTTGATTTTAGAAACAAATTTGGTTTCAAAAACTAAAATTGTTACTTCAGATGTAATATTGACATTTTCAAGCTTAAGAATTTAGGATACTGTGATTTTTGTAGACTCTGTAAAGGTAAAGTAAACTCTAATGGTTCAGTTCAGCTTTTCAGAGGAAAGATAAAATAAAACTAAATTAAGAAAAAACTAGTAGTGTTAGAGTTGATCTAACTTCGTCATCAACAAAAGAAAAGTTTTAATTTTCGACACAAAGTGGCAGGGCACTGGAATCTACTCTACAAATTATCAACTAATCTAAGGAAACAAAATCTACCACAGAATTGAAATGCCTCCAAAACATCGCGTAGATTCAATAACTACACTTACAAGGAACTTGGAACTAACGTTATTAAAAGTTGAACAACTTGGTCCGGAAGTGCACATATAATTGGATAATAACAATATACACTCATTAGACAGATTGAAACTAACTATTAAAGCAAAATTGTCTGATACTTCAACTTAATTAAAAACATAGAAAAATCAAAAAGAGATTACGAAAATCCCGACAATTGAGAAATTGATAACTGGTACAAGCAACAAAACATCGAACGAA